ACTGGCAAATCCTTTTCAATCCTTGTCATATGAAGAGAAATTATAGATAAAACGTATCGGTGCTCATCAGCCATTGGAATAAACATTACACAACAAGTTGGAAATTGCAAATTCAACAATGAGTAGTTTGGAAGGAATCAGTGACTTGCCTGCCATTCAGTGGAATGGGTGTATGATCCAAGTCTGGGTTTAAGGGTCTCTTTTCCAAGCTTAAAAGGATAAACATTCAACATAGGCCATGCTGTCAATCCAGCATGACTTCTTCCGCATTCAAAACAACTGGAAACTCTGAACTGGGAAATCTCAAACTTCAGTGAGTTCAAGACAACTGGGAACTCTGGGAAATAAATGAGCTCAGACTGGGAACATTTTTGAATGGTCATCCATCTCGGAATTCCAAGTTGGGAACGGGCCTCTTTCTAGAGCTCCGACCTGAAGATCACTGACGTCATGATTCAACTTTGTTTTTTTCCGAGTTCCCAGTTGTCTTGAAAGTGCCATAAATCCAGAGAATGCCAGACTTTGATGACAAAGTTTGATGACAAAATTTGTGTCACACCCTGGCTCTGGGACTCTATATGTTGAGCCAGGGTGTGTTCATTCTGTGTGTTCATTTTCTATGTTGGGTATTCTAGTTTGTTTGATTCTATGTTTGACGATGTGACTCCCAATCAGAGGCAACGAGTGTCAGCTGTTTGCTGGTTGTCTCTGATTGGGAGCCATATTTAAACTGTATGTTTTCCCTTGGGGGTTGTGGGTTTTTGTTCCTTATTCGGTCAGTGTAACCGTGGACTTCACGAGTCGTGTTTTGTTTGTATTTAGTACTTTAATTAAATAAAGTCATGTTCGTTTCACACGCTGCGCCTTGGTCTACTCTCCTTTACGACGATCGTGACAGAAAAACCCACCGTAAAAGGACCAAGCAGCGTGTCCAGGAGCAGGCAGACTGGACATGGGAGGAAGCGCCAGGAAAGGAGATAGAGAGGCTGGCGATGGCCCAGGTGGGCAAAGTGTGGTCCTGGGAGGACATGCTCGGGGGCAAGGGACCTTGGGGTAGGATCAAGGCCCTGGCGAGAGAGGAGCAGCGGCGTCAGCAGTGCCATCGTCGGACGGACGAGAGGCACCCCCAATAATTTTTTAGGGGGGGGCACACGGCATGGGCGACTGGGCAGCAGGAGGCTGCCACAGGGCGAAATAGGAGAAGAGGAGAGAAGGCCACCGGGTTACGGGAGCCATTGGCGAGAGGAGGGAAGGAAGTCGTAGAGGCACGGCGAGAGGGACTGAGGTGTATTGCCAGTCCGGTCCGGCCCGTTCCTGATCCCCGTTTAAAGCCAGTGGTGTGTGTTCCCAGTACGGTCCGGCCTGTCCCTGCTCCACGCACCAAACCTACGGTGTGCGTCGCCAGCCCAGCCCGGCCTGTCCCTGCTCCACGCATCAAACCTACGGTGTGCGTCGCCAGCCCAGCCCGGCCTGTCCCTGCTCCACGCACCAAGCCTACGGTGTGCGTCGACAGTCCTGTCCGGCCTGTCCCTGCTCCACGCACCAAGCCTACGGTGTGCGTCGACAGCCCAGCCCGGCCTGTCCCTGCTCCACGCACCAAACCTACGGTGTGCGTCGCCAGCCCTGTCCGGCCTGTCCCTGCTCCACGCACCAAGCCTACGGTGTGCGTCGCCAGCCCAGCCCGGCCTGTCCCTGATCCACGCACCAAACCTACGGTGTGCGTCGCCAGCCCTGTCCGGCCTGTCCCTGCTCCACGCACCAAGCCTACGGTGTGCGTCGCCAGCCCAGCCCGGCCTGTCCCTGCTCCACGCACCAAACCTACGGTGTGCGTCGACAGCCCAGCCCGGCCTGTCCCTGCTCCACGCACCAAACCTACGGTGTGCGTCGCCAGCCTGGCCTGTCCCTGCTCCACGCACCAAGCCTACGGTGTGCGTCGACAGCCCTGCCCGGCCTGTTCCTGCTCCACGCACCAAACCTACGGTGTGCGTCGCCAGCCCAGCCCGGCCTGTCCCTGCTCCACGCACCAAGCCTACGGTGTGCGTCGACAGTCCTGTCCGGCCTGTCCCTGCTCCACGCACCAAGCCTACGGTGTGCGTCGACAGCCCAGCCCGGCCTGTCCCTGCTCCACGCACCAAGCCTACGGTGTGCGTCGTCAGCCTGGTCCAGCCCGTTCCTGCCACTCGCACCAAGCCAGGGGTGCGAGTCGTCAGCCTGGTCCAGCCCGTTCCTGCCACTCGCACCAAGCCAGGGGTGCGAGTCGTCAGCCTGGTTCAGCCCGTTCCTGCTACTCGCACCAAGCCCGGGGGGCGAGTCGTCAGCCTGGTAAGACCGGTCAGCTGCTCCACAACGGAGCGTAAGCAATCCGCTCCGTCAATGTCCAGTCCAGATCCAGCCAGCGGGGTCAGACCGGACCAGGGGCGCTACGGGGGAATTATGGAGGGGTGGTGGTCAAGGCCGGAGCCGCCTCCGAGGAGGAATGCCCACCCAGCCCTCCCCTGTTTGGGGTTTTGTTGAGGCGCGGTCGCAGTCCGCGCCTTTAGGGGGGGGTACTGTCACACCCTGGCTCTGGGACTCTATATGTTGAGCCAGGGTGTGTTCATTCTGTGTGTTCATTTTCTATGTTGGGTATTCTAGTTTGTTTGATTATATGTTTGACGATGTGACTCCCAATCAGAGGCAACGAGTGTCAGCTGTTTGCTGGTTGTCTCTGATTGGGAGCCATATTTAAACTGTATGTTTTCCCTTGGGGGTTGTGGGTTTTTGTTCCTTATTCGGTCAGTGTAACCGTGGACTTCACGAGTCGTGTTTTGTTTGTATTTAGTACTTTAATTAAATAAAGTCATGTTCGTTTCACACGCTGCGCCTTGGTCTACTCTCCTTTACGACTATCGTGACAATTTGCCCACAAGGACCGCCGCGCCACCTTCCTGTTCAAGTGAGCACAGCACAACAAGCTGTCCATAAATGTCTTGTATGCTGCTGCATAAATTATGTAATATGCCAGGGAGATATGTATACTGTAGCTAAGAAAGTAATACTAAGTGTATGTTGTGTAGTAAGCTGTTAGCTGTTGGTGGTGCACATGTAGCCTATAGCCAGTTTTAGAGAAATGTCCAAATCTAATATTGTAAAAGCTTTCATTGTCTGCTTACTGTATATGCCTCCTTTATTTATCCTTGGTGTACAGGGAGAGTACTGTAAGAATGACCCATGTTCGGAATTCTGTCGCTGTACATTTCAAAAGTGCTAAACAAATAGTTACATTGACTACGTCCGTCCTAGCTCGGTAATTAATGTTTTAATCGAAATTACGTACTGCCTCTTATCCGCTCGTCGTCCCCTTATGCCATAGTTTGTACATCTCAATTGTCAGTAGAAACCACATTTGTTTAAGCAAGTCAGCCATATCAGCTATGTTTTTTAAAATTCAGTAAATGAGGCTGAATTAACTGTTTCGCTGGCAAACAAGGCTCTGCTGATAACCAGGTGTAGCAGTGGTAAGGATTCACTCCATGTGCTGAAATGTTGCAACATGCTGAAAAGAAAGCTCTGCTGTTGGGACAGCTTTATGTAGACCCTAACAGTTTCCTGTCACCGTTATAGTGCAATTAATGTATTTATTTGTGTTGTGTAGTGGCTTTGCTGAATTTTGACCAACCAAGATTTACATGTTAAAATAACCACTGCACATATTATATATCAAGCAATCTGATGCCTGACTACACAGTCGATTACGTGGCACGCAACCATTGATTGATGCAATGCATGTCACTGGTGTAGAGAGGAGTAGGCAGGAGGCAGTCACAGGTTTAGAACTATTGAATTTATTTAAGCGCAATAGACAAAAGAGGGACGAAACCCAAACGCTGTTGTGCTCAAAATATATCTTCATAAACAAAAAGGCACAGGGCGCACCCAAAGTGCAAAATATAAAGTACTCAGGAAATAGTAGGAGAGATTCCTCTCAGGAAAACAAGTAACATTTACAATGACCGATAAAGACAAATGGCAGAGGGAGTATATATACAGTGATAGAGTGGGGATTGGATCCAGGTGTGTGTAATGATGACGAGACAAGTCTGGGGTTGATGAGTGAAAGGCGTTTGCCAGCAGTAGGTTCAGCAGCAGCTAGAAGGCTGGCGACGCCGAACGCCTGAGCTGGACAGGAGGGGGAGCCAAAGCGAAGGCTGGTGTGACAATGCAACACCTGCACATTTAGTTGGGCAGGAACTCGACCATGGTAACATAGACAGACAGACATGAGGACAAACAGGCAAACAGATAGGTACAAATGAAAGGCTCCTAGACAGATAAGCAGACATTCAGGTGGGTTTGACAGTCGGACAATCAGGCAGCCCGTGAATCTGATAGTAAGACAGACAAGCAGATAAGCAATCAGATAAACACACACAGAAACAGACAGACTTGGCGACTATTTTAGAGATAATCCGGAAGAAAGGCAAAATAGAAAATGACCAGTAAAAAAGCAACAGAACTGAATTCTGACAGAGAGAAAGGTGCTCTGTCTACTGGCTGATGTTTGGAAGTGCAGGATGTTACAGCAACTGACCATCTCAAAGAAAAAGCTCTGAGCTTTTTCTTTGAGGGGGAGGGTAAAACACCTTGCATACAACGTCCTGTTAAACATGGACGTGAACTAGACACAATAAGCATATAAACACACTCAGAAATCCTTTATCAGCCATTACAAACATTTGACAACTGGAAGAGAACAGAAGTAAATGGGGAACAATGACAGTAATGTTGGGAACATTATTTCAGTCCATATTTGAGTCTATTCCAATTTACTGACATTTATCACAAGTTGAAGGATGTTACACATATCAATGTGGGAAAATACAAGTAAAGGACTAATCTACCTAGGCCAGTGTACTTCAACCCTGGTCCTGGGTACCCACTGGGTGTGTATGCTTTTGTTCTAGCCCTGTGCTTACACACCTGATTCATTCAACTAATCAAGTACTTGACTATTAAGTTAATCAGTTGAATATGTCAGTGCTGGGCTGGTACAAAAGCCTGCACTCCCTGTTGGTTCCCAGGATCTCTTTCTCTATGGCCTCAGTGTTGTTCTCCACACTGTACTGGTCCCACTTGTTGAAGCGGTTGTAGAGGGGCAGTCCCTTGTTCTCTTTGTACAGGTAGACCCCAGTGATCCGGTTCCACACTGTATTAAAGATGGAGCTGGCGCTCTTGTGCTCCTCCAGTTTCTCTTTCTCCTCTTTCGCCACGAAACCAAAGTAGCTCTTCACGCTGTCGGCGGTTAGGGTGCGGGCGTGCACATCGGCCGTGCGCGGAAAAGGTCATGCTTGTTGGAGCTGAACTGGGACCAGTACGCCTCCTATTGGTAGCCCAGGGGAGAGCAGCAGCGCTTCATGCACAGCAGGAGGAACAGAACCACTGACATCCCGCCACCATCAGCCAACCTAGCAGCTGAAAGGAACAACACAATGACAAATCACCACAGGAACAGAAGCCAAATAGCCAAGGAACCTTATCAACGGCACTGATAAACCTTTGAATGTAATGACACAGTGATAAATAATGTTTATTTGTACTTCCTCTTTCCACCAGCTATAATGCCACAAACATATCTCTACCGAACACACAGGAAATGAACATGGAATTGTGGAATGTGATAAAATGAAATATCTGAGACTTCAGCCGGCGTTCAATCTCCGCCCAGAAACCCTGCAGCTCCTGTGGGACAGTAGCCGTACAGGGAAACCTGGCCATGCCCATGATCTCTAACCCCTGTCCAGAGTCGTAATAGTCAGATGACCGTCCAAGTCACAGGAGCCACGGCCGCTCGGCCAATGATAGTGGCTAGGACGGCGAAGGCAGCTGCCCCCGATAGTTTCCGGCAACTCCTGAGGCGGCACTCAGACACCAGGTCCCAGGTACTCTTATTTAGCATGTCGCCAACGAGGTAGAACACCAGGGCGGGCACCCCGATGGCTGCCAGGCCGTAGAGGTAGTTCCGCCGAGCAGAGCACGGGAAGTCGATGACAAAGATGTTGTACATGGTCTGACTGGCCACTGTGCCCAGGGCTATCAGGCCATTGAAGATCATGACATCCTTGTTCTAGAAGAAGAGCGAGACAAAATTGAAGTTCTCTGTGATGAGAGCGGCCATCTTGCAATGTTTGTTGTATGGTCTGACACTGGACAGCATTGGAGGGTTTTCCTATTTTTTTAGCTAAAGCCCTAAAACAAACCATGTGATTCCACAGGAAAACAGAGAAGAACATTTGGAGTCAATGAAGTCATGTAAACTTACGTTCCACAGCCGTGAGATAGGATATTTGAGGCACACTCTTTTGTATAGAATGGTTAAAAAACAAAAACTATGAGTAAAAGCAGCTTTCAATGGAATTTCGCATGGGTATATCTATTCCTAAAGTACCAAAGAGTTTGTGCTGGTAGGTTTGGGGGTAGAAACATCCCTCTTCATCTGTGATGTCTGGTGTCTGGGCATGGACAGTGACTCAAAGTATCTTTATTTTACTGGAAACGTGTTGGAGATCACAGAGCAACATGGTTGCTGCCAGGTCACTACTAACTCAAAGCAACAGAAAGTATTCACACCCCTTCACTTTTTCCACATTTTGTTGTGCTACAGCCTACATTTTAAATTGATTAAATTGAGATTATGTCACTGGCCTAAACACAATACCCCATAATGTCAAAGTGGAATCATGTTTCAAATAAAATACAAAATACAAATTAATTAAAAATGAAAAGCTGAAATTGAGTAATTATTCAACCCCTTTGTTATGGCAAGCCTAAATAAGTTCAGAAATAAACATTTGCTTAACAATTCACATCAGTTGCTTGGACTCATTTTTGAATGACTACCTCATCTCTCTACCCCACACATACAATTATATGTAAGGTCCCTCAGTCGAGCAGTGAATTTCAAACACAGATTCAAGCACAAAGACCAGGGAGGTTTTCCAATGCCTCGCAAAGAAGGGCAACTATTGGTAGATAAAAAAGAAAAAGAAGCAGACATTGAATATCCCTTTGAGCATGGTGAAGTTATTAATTACACGTTGGATGGTGTATCAATACACCCAGTCACCGCAAAGATACAGGTGTTGGCAGAGAGGAAGGAAACCGCTCAGGGATTTCACCATGAGACCAATGGTGACTTTAAAGCAGTTACAGAGTTTAATGGCTGTGATAGGAGAAAAATGAGGATGGATCAACAACATTGTAGCTACTCCACAATACTAACCTAAATGACAGAGGGAAAAGAAGGAAGCCTGTACAGAAAAAATATATTCTGAAACATGCATCCTGTTTGCATGAAGGCACTTAAGTAAAACTGCTAAAAGTTTGGCAAAGAAATTAACTTTTTGTCCTGAATAAAAAGCGTTGTGTTTGGGGCAAATCCAACACATCACTGAGTACCATTCAAGCATGGTGTTGGCTGAATCATGTTATGGGTATCCTTGTCGCCGGCAAGACCTAGGGAGTTTTTTAAGATATAAAATAATGGAATAGAGCTAAGCATAGGCAAAATCCTAGAGAAAAACCTGGTTCAGCCTTCTTTCCAACAGACACTGGGAGAAAACTTCAACTTTCAGCAGGACAATAACCTAAAAATGTCTTACCAATACAACATTGACTGTTGAGTGGCCTGGTTACAGTTTTGACTTAAAATCTGCAAAGCACATGCCTGCAATCCTTACATCGTAGAGCAGCATGAGAGAGTGGTTTCATCACTGTAGCACATCCAGAGATCGATTTATAGTGATTAATGTAAAACAATTCATAGATTTTAAACACAAAACACTTTCTGTTTGTCATAGACAGACACGATTAATATGAGATGAAAGGCGAGTTCCTAACGAGTTCAGGAAGCCAAGTTAGAGCTATGTGGGACATTCACCGCGATTGGGTCAGAAGTTTTGATCAAGAGAGACCTTTAGAAGATATGCACATTTTCTCTAACACTAAACATACAAATATGTATTTTACAGTTATAAGGAAGGTGAAATCTTATAGTTAGTCATTTTATAATTTGATTATACTATATTTAGAAAGTATATTTGTAATTTCAAGTCTTATTCATACAGTTTTGTTGAATAGGAAATACAACATAAAATGTCATATTTTCAAATTTGTACTGTGTACTTGAGCTTGTGTCCTCAAAAGTGAATACACCTCAACAATTCATAACTATTTTTGAGCTTGTGTCCTCAAAAGTTACTACACCTCAACAATTCATAACTATTTTTACCAGAAAGTTGAGATGTTAACCTTTCTTGGAGTATGCAGCATTACTAATTATTGTTTATGACACTCATGATAAATAATTACTTTTGGGGATTACGTAGATTACATTTTCAATTACATTTAACTGATTTTAATTGATTTTTAATTCAGGCTGCAACACAACAAAATGTGGATTAAGTCAAGGGGTATGAATACTTTCTGAAGGCACTGTAGGCTTTATACAGTTGTAACTGTTCAAGGTTGAATTAAAAAGTAGTAAGATGAAGGCACTAGAGCAGGGATCATCAACTAGCGGATGGTCAGGGGGCCAGAACGTAATTACCAATAATTTGTAGACTGCAAATTGACCGCAAGAAGCCAAAACAGATATCAAGTTTGACTAAAACATAATAATTTCTAACTTTGCTTACATTTGTCGTTACTTGGATGACTTCAGCAATTCTAGAGCTAATACATGCCAACAAAGTGCTGACCTTCACGGATGCGTGTGGCAGGATCACTTAGGTAGACCCCCACAACATTGAGGTGTACCTGGCCTTTAATGATGGGGGAGACCCAAGCGCACCCATGCGTACCAAGTGGGAGGCCCCAACCTACCAACAGCTGAAGCCGTGGAAGCCGTGGGAGCTGAGGCACCGCTCGAGATGTGTTCTTTTGGAGTATACTGCACAATGGAGCCAATAACAGGGTTTGAAAAACACAAAGTGTCTCTGATGCTGGCTGGTGACGCAGTGGTCGCCGGAGCAATGGTCACCTGCAGGGTGTGAGAAACCAGACCTGGGAGAATGAACATTTAAATATTGCACTCAGAACCACTTAAAATGATCAAAATTGCAACAGGATACAAATAGGTCTAATACAAATAAGTGTTATTTGATAAAAATAAGTCTAAAAGGGTCATTATAGAAGTTTATTAATGAGTTATGTCCCTTGGAGTGGAAATGTCCCTTGGAGTTGGAAATCTCAGGCATTATGGTCCATTTTGGTCCTTATTGTTAACAATAAGCCTTCCATTTGATTTCACCAAAACATTGCTTTTTATACTTCAATTGTCAAACAAATACTATTTATTTTCAACTATACATTCAAAAGGTGTTACACCAAAGGACTAAGTAATCTATTTTATGATGGCAGAAAAGTAAATATTTCTGATGAAAATTACAATCTGTTCAGACCATGTGCTCCAGCAATGTCTTTTGTACTTCCTCATTGCAGGAGAACCTTCCCAGGCAATGGTGCCCAAATGCTGGCTTGTTGTTTAATCACAGAATTGTCACACCATGTGGAAATTGATTTTAGGGACAAAATGTAATCAATCAGAACTATTTGGAAATATCATGAATGGAATTGGGGACTACTGTTTCTTGAAATAGACTGTGTCAGAAGTACAAGAGTAGTTGGAGGGAATTGTATTAATGTTTTCATTCATTAAGTTCCACAACAGTACCCGGGACAGTCACACCATCGGAAAATTACCATGTTTGGTTAAACATTTTAAGAAAACAAACATACTGCATGAATTTACTCATTTTGTCACAATTTGAACCAATTTAATTAAGTTATTTGTGTTTGCCATTATGGGCAAAAAAGGGGCGTCACATCAACATGCAGTTACCGCTGAGCAGAAGAGGCAGAGACATTAGAGAAAGGAGAAGATAGGAATCCCATTGAGCAATGAATAATGCCTCTCCCAGAAGACTGTCAACCAATCGCGTTCACATTGTCATGCTGCGTCATGCGGTTGGTAAGCATCATGCAATCCCTTCTCAAAGTCAGGGTATGAGTCGAAACCTGCCTATTTTCCTCAAAAGTACGTAATGTCACGATTCCAAAGCTATAGATCGTTATCAATAAAGCGTCACAATATGGTGCAGAGCATTCGATTTGGCTGCTGGGGGGCAAGGAGACCCCCAGCTCCGCTGAAACCAAAAACATCTACGTGCCGTTTTCAAGGGATTGTTAAATAAATGTGAACTATTTGGTTAATATCATCACCTCTTGACGAGCATAGTCAGAACAAAAGATTTCATATTATTCCATGCAAATTTAGCTCTATCATCAGAGTTACAGTGGGGAGAACAAGTATTTGATACACTGCCGATTTTGCAGGTTTTCCTACTTACAAAGCATGTAGAGGTCTGTAATTTTTATCATAGGTACACTTCAACTGTGAGAGACGGTATCTAAAACAAAAATCCAGAAAATCACATTGTATGATTTTTAAGTAATTCATTTGCATTTTATTGCATGACATAAGTATTTGATACATCAGAAAAGCAGAACTTAATATTTGGTACAGAAACCTTTGTTTGCAATTACAGAGATCATACGTTTCCTGTAGGTCTTGACCAGGTTTGCACACACTGCAGCAGGGATTTTGGCCCACTCCTCCATACAGACCTTCTCCAGATCCTTCAGGTTTCGGGGCTGTCGCTGGGCAATACGGACTTTCAGCTCCCTCCAAAGATTTTCTATTGGGTTCAGGTCTGGAGACTGGCTAGGCCACTCCAGGACCTTGAGATCCACTCCTTAGTTGCCTTGGCTGTGTGTTTTGGGTCGTTGTCATGCTGGAAGACCCAGCCACGACCCATCTTCAATGCTCTTACTGAGGGAAGGAGGTTGTTGGCCAAGATCTCGCGATACATGGCCCCATCCATCCTCCCCTCAATACGGTGCAGTCGTCCTGTCCCCTTTGCAGAAAAGCATCCCCAAAGAATGATGTTTCCACCTCCATGCTTCACGGTTGGGATGGTGTTCTTGGGGTTGTACTCATCCTTCTTCTTCCTCCAAACACGGCGAGTGGAGTTTAGACCAAAAAGCTATATTTTTGTCTCATCAGACCACATGACCTTCTCCCATTCCTCCTCTGGATCATCCAGATGGTCATTGGCAAACTTCAGACGGGCCTGGACATGCGCTGGCTTGAGCAGGGGGACCTTGCGTGCGCTGCAGGATTTTAATCCATGTCGGCGTAGTG